CAAAAAACAGGACATAGATGGCTCTATGAACAGGCGGAATACATAGAAAAGAGAACACTCCAAACCACAGCTTCCAAAACACGTCTCGAGTAGGAAAGTGTTCATGTGCGTCTGTGCTCATTTAGGGGTAATCATGGGCACCTGGAATTATCCGAGGACGCTTCCAGTAGCAAGCATTTGGCGCTGTATTCTGTTCCACTCTCTACCTCATCACTACTTGCTTTCATGGGCCTTTTCTTTAGTGTGTCTTTTATTTTTCTCCATTTAAAACCATCACCACCATAAAGCTGTACAATAAATGAATGTCTTTCACTCAGGACAATAAAAGCAGCCTTCTGTGCAAACTAAAAAGATGATTTAGATGATGCTAAGGAAAAAAGATTAATATTGAAAACAGATGGGTAAGTTATTTATCTCACACAGCTTAGGGATAGAAACAGACTAAGCCAAATGACTGTAAAACTTAATGTTAATCAGAAACAAGAGGGCCCTGTTAAAACACTAGTCCCCGTGGGCCAGAGATTCTGAGTCAACAAGCCTGGGACGGGACTTGGAAATTTGCATCTTTAATGTTTGCAAATGATGTTATGTCAATAGTCAGAGACCCCTCTCCGAGGGCCACCAGATTGTCTAAAGTTCCCTGCTCACCATGCCGTCCTTTACCGGTAGTCACCTGAGAACATCTGCTTAGGTCTCCAGCTCCACATCTTCACACATCTGTACTCATATTGTTTCTTTTTGAAGAGGCTTTGTCCTGGGTACAGCTGGTAGAGTGTGTGAGCTCCTCGCTGAAGGCTGCCTCCAGAATGCCCTTTATGGACTGTCTTGCTTTCTTCCTAAAGTCTTTCCCCAAAAGGGCATAAAGGAAGGGGTTGAAGCAACTATTGGCAGATGCTAAAGCAATGGACATGTTGTCCCAAGATAACACAGCTTGCCTCAAAGGAGTTCCTAGGTCATCAATCAATAAAAGGACTCCAACAATATGGTATGGTGTCCAGCAGACAAAAAAGACAGTCACCACCACCAGGGCCACCTGAAAGGTTTTGCTCCGAGACTTGGTGAAGTTGGTTTTTCGCATTCGGAAGACAATGAGGCTGTAACAAGCCACCATGATAAAAAGGGGCACCAGGAAGCCCACCACCAGCCTTGTGATGGTCATTGCCTCCAGAGGTGTTAGTGCATGATTGTTATACGTGGACTGGGCGAAATAGTCATCCTGGAAATCTTGTGACTGCTCAGGGTGAGATGCATAACTGCCAGAAGCAGGAGGGGAAATCTGTATATGAGCAGAGAGAAAAGCGTCGGGGTTCTGTGTGTTGGTTCTGTGATCTTCAACAGGAAACCCACTGGGTGTGGTGGCTATGAGCACACCGGGAGCTTTTACACTGTAATGGGGTGGTTGACTAGACAGTCTTGCTGAATCTAGAGGGAGTGGATCTTCAGAAGATCTTTGGAATGCTTGTGACTGGAGGCTGGTGACAGCTGTCCAAAGGTGGTCACCTATTTGTGAAGAGGAAGGCCTGTCATCCATTTGTCCTGTTAGCTGAGCACTGGAGTTGTAAGTAGAATTGCTTTCTGGGAGGTCTATGTCGTACATGTAGTCCCCATAATCAAAGGGCTCATGGGAATCAACATGATAGGTACATAGAGTACGATCATCTATACTGATCACCTCTCGGTATACAAATACTGGTACACACATCACAAAGGCCACCACCCAGACACATGCGCAGATGATGAAGGCCGTTCTCACATTCCGATGGTTCTGGCACCAGATTGGCTTGTGCACCATCAGACAGCGGTCCAGGCTAATGGCGGTGAGCAGGAAGACACTGGCAAACATGTTGAGGACGATGATGGATGGGATAAGTTTGCATAGGAACAAACCATAGGGCCAGTGTCCTTGGAGAATCAGGTGAGCCAGGGAGAAGGGCAAGGAGAGGCAGCAGAGGAAGTCGGCCAGGGTGAGATGGAGAAACCAAACTGTGTTCACAGTCCGCTTCATCTTTAGGCCAGCCACCCACAGCACCAGCCCATTGCCTGGCAGTCCCAGTAGGCAAGTGAGGATGAGGATGACCATGGAGATAATGTCTTGGGGTTTAAACAGAGGTGGTGAGTATGCGGCAGTTGAATTGGTGTCAGCAGAGGAGGACTCCATTGCTAAACCTGCAAAAAGATGAAGAAAATGTTAAAGCTTGTAGTAACTATAAAAATAGGTACTGTTAGGAGGCCTTCTGTGGTGATGCAGCCTCTCATTGCCAGAGGCTCTCAGGAGTCTGGTTTGCATTCCTTCACCAGAATAGACACACAACATCATTCTCTGATAGTTTAAAATCTAGGATGCTGATTTAAATGTGTATCAAAAAGGTAACTTCATTTGGGAGTTCATATCAACTCAAATCTCCCCTCCCTCCCCCTTTTTTTGTTATACCCCCTGTGTTTTTTGTTGTTGTTGTTTTTTTCCAGTGCTGAAATTCAAGCCTGGGACCGGCACCTGCTGGGCAGCACTCTACTGAGCTACAGCCTCACCCCTGGGCTTTTTGGCACAGGATCTGCATGTTGCCCAGGCTGGCTGGCTTCCAACTGGCTGTATTGTGGAGTAAACTGACTTGACCCCCTGATCCTCCTGTCTGACTTCTGAGTGCTGGGATGTTCCTCATTTCCACGGCTTCTTTCTTCACTCGGTGTCCGCTGCTAACACTGAACAGATGTCTAAATGGACAAGGACTTCTAGGTGGACTCTCCCTAAACTGAAGTCATCAGAGGACTTTTTTTTTTTTTTGGTTTTTCGAGACAGGGTTTCTCTGTGTAGCTTTGCGCCTTTCCTGGAACTCACTTGGTAGCCCAGGTTGGCCT